GGTACCAGAGTCAAGAACACCCTTAAACGTCCCTTACCTTAACCCTAACCCTAACCCTGACCCTGACCCTAACCCTAACCCTAACCTTAAACATAACCCTAACCCTAACCCTTCCTCTAACCCTAACCTTAACCCTAACCCTAACCTTAACCCTAACCCTAACCCTAAACCTAACCCTAACCCTAACCCTTACCCTAACCCTAACCCTGACTCTAACCCTAACCCTAACTCTTACCCTGAGCCTTACCCTAACCCTAACTCTAACCTTAACTCTAACTGAATGTTGATTTATATCTTTATTTATGCAATTTTCTCTGAAACCATGCAAGATACTCGAACAAAAATTTCACAGTTTGTATTTTAAGGTACACCAGCACAAGCACCAGCACCGGCACCAGCATCAGCACCTGCACCAGTACAAGCACTTACATAACCACCAGCACCAATAAAAGCAGAAGAACAACCCACAGCAACAACATAACCAACAGCACTAGCACAAGCATCAGGACCAGCACAAGCACCAGCACCAGCACTGGCATAAGAACAGGCACCACTGCCAGCACCAGAACCAGCACCAACACCACTATCAGCAACACCACCAGCACCAGCACCAGCCTAAGCACCAGGGAAAGGCACAAGCGCCAGCACCAGCACCAACACGAAAACCAGCACAAGCAACAGCACAAGCACAGGCATCCGAACCACCACCAGCACCACCACCACCACCACAACCAACAACAGCACCAGCCTAGGAACCAGGACAGCACCAGCACAAGCAACAGCACAAGCATTAGCACCAGCACCAGCACAACAGCACCACCACCACCACCAACACTTGCACCAGCCTTAGCCCCAGGACAGGCACAAGCGCCAGCACCATCTTTTTTTTTGTCATTTAAGTTCATTATATAGATATATTCTATTTTAATTCATTTTTATTCAATATATATACTCTATTTTATTTCATTTTAATTCATTATGTATATTCCTATTTATTTCATTTTTTTCATTATATATATTCAATTTTTTTCATTTTTATTCATTATATATATTCTTTTTTTTCAGTTCAAATCATAATATATATTGTATTTTTTTATTTCAATTCATTATATTTATTCTTTTTTCTCATTTTAGTTCATTATATATATATTCTATTTTGTTTATTTTAATTCATTATATATATTCTGTTTTTTTTATTTTAGTTCATTATATCTATTCTTTTTTTCATTTTATTCATTGTATATAATCTTTTTTTTCATTTTAATTTTATATATATATTCTTTTTTATTTCATTTTTATTTATTATATATATTCTATTTTTTTCATTTTAGTTCATTATATAAATTCTATTATTTTTTCATTTTTATTCATTATTTATATTCTATTTTATTTCATTTTAGTTCTTTATAAATATTCTATTTTTTTCATTTAAGTTCATTATATATATTCTTTTTTTTTCATCTTAGTTCATTATATAAATTCTTTTTTTTCATGTTAATTCATTGAATATATTCTTTTTTTTCAATTTAATTCATTTTATATATTCTATTTTTTTCATTTTAGTTCTTTATCTATATTCTATTTTTTTCATTTTAGTTCATTATATACTGTATATTCTTTTTTTTTCATTCTAATTCATTTTATATATTCTATTTTTTTCATTTTAGTTCATTATATCTATTATACTTTTTTTATTTTAATTCATTATATATAATCTATTTTATTTCATTTTAGTTCTTTATAAATATTCTAGTTTTTTTTTCATTTAAGTTCATATTTATATCTTTATTTTTTTTTCATTTTTATTCTTCATTGTATATTATTATTCTTTTTTATTATAGTTATTTTTATATATTATATTTTTCTCATTTTAGGTTTAATATATATTACCTATTTCAATTCATTCTTTTATAAATGATATTTATTTTATTTTTTTCATTTAAGTTATATTAATATACTATTTCTATTTCTTTCATTTTATTTCGTTATAAATATTCTATTTTTTTCATTTTAATTCATTTATATATTCTATATTTTTCAATTCAGTTCAATATATATTATTTTTTTTTTTCTATTTAGTTCATTTTATATATTATTTTTTCATTTATTCATGTATATATATTCTATCTTTTTTCATTTTGTTCATTGTATTATTCTATTTTTCATTTTAGTTCATTATATTATATTTCTTTTTTTCATTTTAGTTCATTATATCTATTCTTTTTTTATTCTAGTTCTTGATATATATTCTATTTTTTTCATTTTAATTCATTATAATATTCTATTTTTTTATTTTTAATTCATTTTATATTATCTATTTTTTTCATTTTAGTTCTTAATATATATATATTCTTTATTTCATTTTAGTTCATCTTATATAATTTTTTTTTTCATTCAAGTTTCACTATATATATTCTTTTTTTTTAATTTTAGTCATTATAATATATTCTTTTTTTTATTTAATTATTATATATATTCTATTTTTTCATTTTAGTTCATTATATCTATTCTACTTTTTATTAATTCATATTTATATATTCTTTATTTTCATTTTTTATTTAATTATTATATTCTATTTTTTATTTTATTCATTATATATTTCTATTTTTTTCATTTTTATCTAATATTTATATTCTATTTTTTCTTTTTTAGTTTTATATAAATATTCTTTTTTTCATTTCAAGTTAATATAATATTCTATTTTTTTTCATGTTAGTTCTTGTATATTCTGATTTTTTTTATTTTTTAGTTTATTATATATCAATTCTATTTTTTTCATTTTAAATTCATTATATTTATATTCTGTTGTTTTCATTATTAGATTTAATCATATTTTCTATTTTTTTTATATTAGTTCATTGTATATTCTATTATTTTTATTTTAGTTCATTATATATAATTCTATTTTTTCATATTTAGTTCATTATATCTATTCTATTTAATATTCTTAGTCTTTATATATATTCTTTTTTTTTAATTTTAGTTCATTATATATATTCTTTTTTTTTCATTTTAATTCATTATATATATTCTATTTTTTTCATTTTAGTTCATTATATCTATTCTACTTTTTTATTTTAATTCATTTTATATATTCTTTTTTATTTCATTTTTATTTAATATATATATTCTATTTTTTTCATTTTAGTTCATTATTTATATTCTATTTTTTTCATTTTTATTCATTATTTATATTCTATTTTATTTCTTTTTAGTTCTTTATAAATATTCTATTTTTTTCATTCAAGTTCATTATATATATTCTATTTTTTTCATTTTAGTTCATTGTATATTCTATTTTTTTTATTTTAGTTCATTATATCTATTCTATTTTTTATATTCTAGTTCTTTATATATATTCTTTTTGGTCATTTTAGTTCATTATATATATTCTATTCTTTTCATTATAATTTATTATATATATTCAATTTTTTTCATTTTAATTCTTTATATATTTTCTTTTTTTTTCATTTTAGTTCATTTTAGCTATTCTCTTTTTTTTATTTTAGTTCATTATATATATTCTATTTTTTTCATCTTAGTTCATTATATCTATTCTATTTTTTTCATTTTATTTCATTATATATATTCTTTTTTTTTCATTTTAGTTCATTTTAGCCATTCTTCTTTTTTTATTTAAGTTCATTATATATATTCTCTTTTTTTCATTTTAGTTCGTTATATATATTCTATTTTTTTCATTTTAATTCATTATATATCTTCTAATTTTTTCATTATAGTTCATTATATATATTCTATTTTTTTTATTTTAGTTCATTGTATATTCTATTATTTTTATTTTAGTTCATGATATATATTCTATTTTTTTCATTTTAGTTCATTATATCTATTCTATTTTTTATATTCTAGTTCTTTATATATATTCTTTTTTTTCATTTTAGTTCATTATATATATTTTACTTTATTTAATTTTAGTTCATTATATATATTCTTTTTTTCATTTTACTTTATAGAGCGGTTGCAATAGAGCCCTCTTGCCTCGTTTCCAATATTGCTGCCATCTTGACGGGCAAGGCGGCTTTTTCGAAAACGTAAACATGGCCACTCAAAGCAGCGAGATTCCTCTTTCGTCGTACGTTCAATCGATGGGAGCATCAGCGAAGACTCGGTACTTATCAAAAATCGAGTGCATTAAAGAAGACCCGTACTTGTTGAAAAAACCTGCTCTCGACGAGAACATGAAACACTTGCCTAACGTAGACTACACTGACATTGTTAATTACCTTGTCTATTCAACAAGTTACCTGACGGCGAAGGAGATAAAGGCGAAAAAGTCATTACAAGCTTATAAAAACTTCTTGAGTGGGAGGGTTTTAGAAGCGGCAACAAAATTATTCAAGGATAAGTGCGTTTTGGTAGGAACGGTAAGTCAAAGATCTTATCCTGTGAATTAATCTGAAATTATTGCAACGAAAGCTAACTTGCTGAAATTAGTGCAAGAAAAATTAACTTGCTAAAATTATTGCAGCAAAGGTTGTTTTGTTGAAACGATCTTAACTGGACAGCAGCGCAATCTGGGATCGTTTTTTTTTAAGGTTAGAGTAAATCTTAGCTTCAGGGATGTATTGCCTTTTGGGATTTCTTGTCTCTGCCTGTGTCCCTATTTGATGCCTACTTTTTGATCATGAACATTGTTTTCCTTGAAAAAAATTGCTGCCACTAGTAATCTCAGACTATGCCACGTTGCCACCATATGATAAAAGTCTTTACTTTTTATTTGATAAAATTTCAAATTTGTTACGTTAGTGACATTTAATACAAAAAAATCAAGCCATTGTTTCATTATTACAGGGTCGTCATTCTCAGCATGCAAATAAAACGCCATTAAAACCATGGGTTCCTTTGAAAGCAGATGGAGAAATAGAAACAGCCCATTGCACATGTATGGCTGGTCTGGGAGAAGCTTGCTCACATGTTGCGTCACTGTTATTCTATGTTGATGAATTTCATCGTACAAAAGCAACAACATGCACCCAAGAACAGTGCAAATGGCTGTTGCCTAAAGCGGTTAAAGAAGTGCCTTACCTACCTGTTGTAGAAATAGATTTCAAAGGGGCAATCAGAAAGATGCAAGATTTTAATTTTGGCAGTAAAAGTAAGGAAGAAAGTCATGGGCCAGTTAAAAAGAAGAAAATGGAAAATGCTTGCTGTACTGGTCAAGATACGAAGCAAAAGGAATTCCTTAACAAGATTAGTTTGTTTGGTACTAGACCAGCTATTTTGTCAATAGCCGAGCCTTTTAATGAAGGTTTTGTTCCCTTTGGAGCCATCAGCAACCTGTATCTACCAGAATTGTATTCTCCTTCAAATACAGGGTGCTCTTTTGATGTTATTCAAAGGAAATGTGCTGAAGTTGTGCTGCCAGTACTGTCAGAGGAACAACTTCAGAGAATCCAAAAAGAGACAGCAAAGCAGTCAAAGTCAAAGCTTTGGTTTAGGCTCCGGTCTGGTAGAATCACTGCTTCAAGATTCAAACAAGCTTGTAGTACTGATGTCTGCAACCCAAGCAAGAGCCTGATCAAATCCATATGTTACCCAACAGAGTGCATATTTACAAATGACGCTGTAGCTTGGGGTTTGGAAATGGAGAACATTGCTGTAGCTGCTTATGTAAAAGCCATGGAAGCAGAACACAAAGATTTTCAGTTTTTCAAGGCAGGATTGATTTTAAACAATAAATGGCCATTTTTAGGAGCCTCCCCAGATGGTTTGATATGTTGCGAATGCTGTGGGGAAGGTGTTTTTGAGGTCAAATGTCCTTAAAGCTGCAGAGAAATTTCACTGAATGAATATGCTTGCAAAGCCGATTCCATGCTAGTGCCTTTATGCCGCTCATTTGCACTCAAGCATGAGCATCAATATTATTTTCAAGTTCAATGCCAACCAGCAATGTCTGGGGCAAAGTATGCACAATTTGTAGTATGGACACCAAAGGAAACACATACTGAGACAATCTATCCCAACAAGTCTTTCTTTGATGTTAATGTTAATAAAGCAAAAAAGTTCTTTCAGCTCTGTGTCCTACCAGAACTACTTGGAAAATACTATACAAAACAAAGAGATAATAAAAAAATCAGATAATATTTTTCTGTTTTATATATTTCTGTGACTTTTTATAAAAATAAAAATTAATCATCAGACAGTTGGTGATAAAAGCTAAAAGATGATATGGAAAGACATACATTTTTTGGTGTGCAAACAAAAGAGTTTTCTACATAAAAATAGTAAGAGAACAACCAAGAGAATATTAGTATATAAGGTACAAAAACATGTGGCAACATTTCAATAACAAAAAGTCATTTGAAAAACAATGATTGCTAAGTTTGTTTTAATCAGTTAGATTTTGCTAGACTATAAGGTTCAGAAAGTGGATGGAAAACGTTTTTGTCTCAATAGAAAAAAGCATTTTTCCATATGAAGAGAGGTCCTATGAAAAGTAGATAAAAAAACAGCTGTGAATATAAGTTAACCAAAAGTAAAGAAACTAATTAAAAATGAAAATATATAAAACAAGAAAACTAATTAAATGGAACAACAGAGTCACAAATGTTTGTAAGAGCACAGCACACCACTGCTATCTTGTCTATCTGGGGACTGGAATGTTGACTATAAAATGCTTCAATGTTCGAAATGAAAGAAATGACACCTTGTGGACAGATACCAATCAAAAACTTTACTGTATTATGATGTTTATAATTGCTCCAAGTGCATGCACGGGCCAATAAATCACCTGGACGCTCAATAAATACTTCAAAGCAGTCGATCACAACAACTACTTTACGACCATAGGCTTGAACAACATCATGAGGCATAGTCTTTTGGAGCTCTTCTCTGTCTGGCCACTTTATGAGAAATTTAAGCTCTCTAGCCATTACATCGATCCATTTATCAAAAATTCTTGAAGCCGTTGACTTCGAAATATTAAAACGATAAGCCAAATCCTGAAATGTTAAGTTTAACCTGAGTCTCATCATAGTGAGCAAAAACTCTTGAAACATTGTCAAACAATTCCGGTGTGTTTGTGAAATAGAGTCAGCGAGGAATGAAAACACTGACATCAGCAAGAGATAATTGGGAATACCGGTTAAAAACGAAACCGTTTCGTTATCCTGCTGCAATCTATTAATATCGATTTGTATCATAGAAATTACTTTTTCTTTTAGACCTTTATTATCGTTCTCCAATAAAGACAAGTTTTGCTCCAGGTTTTCAATATCAAGCATCGTAAAGTCCGTCTGAACCCCAATTGAAATTGACTTTGGAGATGAGCTGATTCCATCGCTGTTAGTCGATTGCTCGTCAAACGTAAAGGACTCAGTGTTGTCTACGACATCTGTTGGCCGGCCTAAGCCTTCCAATTGCGAAGCGGTACGTTTTCCTGATCGCTCCTTGCGTCTTTCCCAGCGAGAAGAAGTTTCTGATTTTACATTTAAATGACCTAAACGCAAGGTGGGGGCCCAATTTGGGTGGGACTTTTGAAACAGAGCAATGGGTTTACCAGTTATGAAATGATCAGAACAAACCCAAACAAACTTTTTTCCCTCGAGATCTGCACGTCGTATGTTACTTAGCCACTTATTTCTTCGTTCAGTAGAATAGTCCTTCGTTTGCTGATCCAAATGCGTTATTATTTTTGGCAAACGATGAAATGAGCGGTTTTTTTCGCGGTCAGACCGATTTGAACATCCGAAAACACTGCAACAGTTCACCATATTGGATCAACGATCACCGTCATAATGGCGGATGCGAGGTTATGCTAAATGGTTGCTGGGCAACAGATGGGTATTGAAACCGCTTTATTATAAATATTCTATTTTTTTCATTTTAGTTTATTATATATATTCTATTTTTTTTATTTTAGTTCTTTATATATATTCTATTTTTTTCATTTTAATTCATTATATATATTCTATTTTATTTCATTTTAATTCATTATATATATTCTATTTTATTTCATTTTCATTCATTATTTGTAATCTATTTTTTTCATTTTAATTCATTATATATAATCTATTTTTTTCATTTTAATTCATTATATATATTCTATTTTTTTCATTTTTATTCATTATATATATTCTTTTTATTTCATCTTAATTCATTATTTATATTCCATTTTATTTCATTTTTATTCATTATATATATTCTTTTTTTTTCTTTTTAATTCATTATATATATTTAATTCTTTTCGTTTATGTTAATTATATATATTATAATTTTCTCATTTTAATTCATTATATTTATTCTAGTGCTGGTGCTGGTGTTGGTGTTGGTGCTTGAGCCAATGCCAGTGCTTGTGCTCTTGCTGGTGCTGATGCCTGTGCTGGTGCTGTGTTGGTGTTGGTGCTGGTACTGATGCTGGTACTGGTGCTGCTGCTTGTGCCTCACCTGGTGCCAAGTGCTGGTGATGATGGTGGTGCTGGTGTTGGTGCTGGTGCTGGTGCCTGTGCCGTTGCTTTTGCTGATGCTGGCCATTGTTCCTGTTCTGATTCTTAAGCTGGTGCTTGTGCTGGTGTTGGTGCTGGTTGTGGTGCTGATGCTGGTGGTGGTGCTGGTGCTTGTGCTTGACCCAGTGCCTGTGCTGGAGTTGGTGCTGGCGCTGGCTCTTGTTGCCGTCCTGGTGCTTAGGCTGGTACAGGTGATGGTGGTGTTGCTGGTAGTGGTGCTGGTGCCTGTGCTCGTGCCTGGGCGGTACTGGCACTTGTGCTAAAACTGGTGCTGAAACTGGTGCTGGTGCTGGTGCCTATGCTGGTGCTGGTGTTAGTTCTGGTGCTGGTGCTTGTGCCTGTCCCGGTTCTTAGGCTGTTGCTTGTGCTGGTGTTGGTGCTGGTTCTTGTGCAGTTGCTGGTGTTGGTGTTGGTGCTAGTGCTGGTGCTGGTGCCTGTGCTGAAGGTTGTGGTGGTATTGGCGCTGGTGCTGGTGCTTGTGCATGTTCTCGTGCTTGTGCTTATTTAGGTGGTTGTACTGGTGCTGGTGCTGCTTCTTGTGCTGGACACATTGATTTTGCTGGTATTGGTGCTTATTCTGGTGCCTGGGCCTAGCCATCGCTCGTGCTGGTTCCTGTACTATTGCTGGAGCTTTAGCTGGTGCTGGTAATGGAGCTGGTGCTGGTGCTGGTGCTGGTGCTGATGCTGGTGCAGGTGCCTGTACCGTTGCTTTTGCTGATGCTGGTGCTTGTGCCTCTCCTGGTGGTTAGGCTGGTGCTAGTGTTGGTGGTGGTTCTGGTTCTGTTGCTGGTGCTGTGGTGGTGCTGGTGCTTGTGCTTGACCCAGTGCCTGTGCTGGTGTTGGGGCTGGTGCTTGCTCTTGTTCCTGTGCTGGTATTTCGGCTGGTACTGGTGCTGGTGGTGGTGCTAGTAGTGGTGCTGGTGCTTGCGCTCGTGCCTGGGCGGTACTGGCGCTTGTGCTGTTGCCTGTACCAGTGCAGGAGCATGTGTTGGTGTTAGTGCTTAGGCTGGTGCTACTGCAGGTGCTGGTGCTGGTGCTTGTGTTTGTTCTTGTGCTGGTGCTTGTACTAGTGGTGGTGCTGGTGTTGGGGCTGGTGTTGGTGCTGGTGCCTGTGCCGTTGCTTTTGCTGATGCTGGCGCTTGTGCCTGTCCTGATGCTTAGGCTGGTGCTGGTGCTGATGGTGGTGCTGTGGTGGTGCAGGTGTCGGTGCTGGTGCTGGCGCTTGTGCTTGGACCGGTGCTTGGGCCGATGCTGGCGCTTGTGCTGGTGCCTGTACTAGTGCTGGAGCTGGTTCTGGTGCTAGTGCTTAGGCTGGAGCTGGTGCTGGTACTGGTGCTGGTGCTAGTACTGGAACTTGTGCTTTTGCTTGTGCTAGTACTCTTATCTGTTTGTGCTGGAGCTTGAGCAATTGCCAGCTCTTGTAATAGTGCAAGTGGTTGTCCTGGTGATGATGCTCGTGCTGGTGCTGGTGCTAATGCTGGAGCCGGTGCTGGTTGAGGTATTGATACTGGTGTTTGTGCTTGAACCTGTGCTTGCTCTGGTCTTGGTTCTTGTTCTGGCGCTTGTGCCTATCCTAGTGGTTGGTTTTAGGGCTGGTGGTGGTGCTGGTTCTGATACTGGTGGTTGTGCTTGTGCTTGATCCAGTGCCTGTGCTGGTGTTGGGGCTGGTGCTGGCTCTTGTTCCTGTCGTGGTGCTTAGGTTGATACTGGTGCTACTGGTGGTGCTGGTAGTGGTGCTGGTGCTTGTGCTGGTGCCTGTACCAGTGCTAGAGCATGTAATGGTGTTAGTGCTTAGGCTGGTGCTACTGCTGGTGATGGTGCTGGTGTTGGTACTGGTGCTGGTGGCTGTGCCGCTGCTTTTGCTGATGCTGGCCCTGGTCCCCGTTCTGGTGCTTAGGCTGGTGCTTGTACTGGTGGTGGTGCTGGAGCTTGTGCTTGTGTTTGTGCTTGTGCTAGTGCTCGTACTCGTACCGGTGTTTGTGCAGAAACTAGGGCAAGTGCCGCCTCTTGTACTATTGCAAGTTCTTGTGCTGGTGCTGGTGTTAGTGCTGGTGCTGGTGCTGGCACTTGTGCCTGTCCTGGTGCTTAGGCTGGTGCTGGTGCTGGTGTTGGTGCTGGTTCCCGTGCTGGTGCCTGTGGTGGTGCCTGTACTAGTGCTGGAGCTGCTGCTGGTGCAGGTGCTTGTTCTTGTGCTGGTGCTTGTACCAGTGCTGCTGCTGGTGTTGGTGCTGGTGCTGGTGCTGGTGCTGGTGCCTGTGCCGTTGCTTTTGCTGATACTGGCCATTGTTCCTGTTCTGATTCTTAAGCTGGTGCTTGTGCTGGTGTTGGTGCTGGTTGTGGTGCTGATGCTGGTGGTGGTGCTCGTGCTTGTGCTTGACCCAGTGCCTGTGCTGGAGTTGATGCTGGCGCTGGCTCTTGTTGCCGTCCTGCTGCTTAGGCTGGTACAGGTGATGGTGGTGTTGCTGGTAGTGGTGCTGGTGCCTGTGCTCGTGCCTGGGCGGTACTGGCACTTGTGCTAAAACTGGTGCTGAAACTGGTTCTGGTGCCTATGCTGGTGCTGGTGTTAGTTCTGGTGCTGGTGCTTGTGCCTGTCCTGGTTCTTAGGCTGTTGCTTGTGCTGGTGTTGGTGCTGGTGCTTGTGCAGTTGCTGGTGTTGGTGTTGGTGCTAGTGCTGGTGCTGGTGCCTGTGCTGAAGGTTGTGGTGGTATTGGTGCTGGTACTGGTGCTTGTGCGGGTTCTCGTGCTTGTGCTTATTTTGGTGGTTGTACTGGTGCTGGTGCTGCTTCTTGTGCTGGACACATTGATTTTGCTGGTATTGGTGCTTGTTCTGGTGCCTGGGCCTAGCCATCGCTCGTGCTGGTTCCTGTACTATTGCTGGAGCTTTTGCTGGTGCTGGTAATGGAGCTGGTGCTGGTGCTGGTGCTGGTGCTGGTGCTGGTGCTGGTGCAGGTGCCTGTACCGTTGCTTTTGCTGATGCTGGTGCTTGTGCCTCTCCTGGTGGTTAGGCTGGTGCTAGTGTTGGTGGTGGTTCTGGTTCTGTTGCTGGTGCTGTGGTGGTGCTGGTGCTTGTGCTTGACCCAGTGCCTGTGCTGGTGTTGGGGCTGGTGCTTGTACTGGTGGTGGTGCTGGTGCTGGTGCTTCTGCTGGCGGTTGTCTCTGTCCTGGTGCTTAGGCTGGTGCTGGTGCTGGCGGTGGTGCTGGTGATGGTGGTTGTGCTAGTTCTTTTACTGCAGATGCTGCTACTGGTACTTGTGCTGGTGCCTGTTCTGGTACTGGTTCTAGTGCTTGTGCGTGTGTTTGTGTCGGTGCTGGTGCTTGTGTTGGTGCTGATGCTTGTGCTGATGCTTTTGCTAGTACAAGTGTTTGTGCTGTTGTTTGTGCTTATGCTCGTACCAGTACCTATACTGGTGCTTGTGATGGTGCCTACTTTTTTGTCGGCGCTTTAGATGGCTTTTGTACTAGTGCTACTGCTGTTGCTGGTGCTTGTGCTGCTGCTGGTGCTGATTCTGGTGCTTGTGCGTGTGCTTGTGTTGGCGCTGATGTTGGTGCTGGTGCTGGCACTGGTGGTCGCGCTGGCGCTGGTGCTGTTGCTGGTGCTGGTGCTAGTGCTAGTGCTAGTGCTTCTGCTCGTACCAGTGCTTGTGCTAGTGCTTGTGCTGGTGCCTACTCTTGTGCCGGCGCTTTGGCTGGTTCTTGAACTGGTTCTAGTGCTGCTGCTGGTGCTGCTGCTGGTGCTGCTGCTGGTGCTGGTGCTGGTGCTCGTGCTCCTGCTGGATCAGGTGCTTGTGCTGTTATTGGTGCTGGTGCTGGGGTCCAGGTGCTGGTGCTAGTGCTGATGGTCGTACCGGTGCTTGTGGTGGTGCCTGGGCCAGTGCTTACGCTTGAGCTGGTGCTATATAGTTCTAAGGCTTGTGTTGGTGCTGGTGTTGGTGCTGGTTCTGGCGCTTGTGCCTGTTCTGGTGCTTCTGCTGGTGCTTATGCTGGTGCTTGTGTTGATGCTGGTGCTGTTGCTTGTGCTGGTTCCTGTACCACTGCTGGAGACTGTTCTTGTGCTGGTGCTTGTGCCGGTGCTGGTACTTGTGCCGGTGCTGGTGCTTGTTCTGGTGCCTGTACTACTGCAAGAGCTGATGCTGGTGCTTCAGCTTAGGCTGGTGCTGGTGCTTGTGCTGGTGCCTGTTCTGGTACTGGCAATAGTGCTGGTAATGCCGCTTGTATCTGTCCTGGTGCTTAGTCTGCTGCTGCTGCTAGTGGTTGTCTTGATGCCTGGGCCGGTCAAGCGCTTATGCTGGTGCCTGTACTAGTGCTGGAGCTAGTCCTGGAGCTGGTGACAGTTCTTGTGCTGGTTCTTGTGCTGGTGCTTGTGGCTGGTCCCGGTGCTTTTGTTGGTGCTGTTACTTATGCTGGTGCTTGTGCTTCTGCTCGTGCTGGTTCTTATGTTTGTGCTTTTGTTGGTGCTTCTGCTGGTGCTTGTACTAGTGCAAGTGCTATTGCTTGTGCTGGTGCTGGTGCTAGTGATGGTCGCGGTGCTTTTGTTGGTGATATTGCTTACCTTGTTGCTTGTACTAGTGCTGGTGCTGGTGCTGGTGCTGGTACTGGCTCAGGTGCTTGTAATGGTCCAGTTACTTGTGCAGATCCTGGTGCTTTTGTTGGTGCTGTTGCTTTTGCTGGTACTTGGGCTTCTGCTGGTGCTTGTGATTCTGCTGGTGCTTGTGCTAGTGCTGGTGCTTGTGCTTCTGATGGTGCTCGAACTGGTTCTTTTGCTGGTGCTTGTGGCTGTGCATGGACTTGTGCTGGTGCTTGTCCTAGTGCTAGTGATGGTGCTGTTGCTGGTGCTGGTACTAGTGCAGGTGCTTCTTCTGGTCCAGTTGCTTGTGTTGGTGATGTTGTTGGTTCTTGGTCTGGCGCTTCTGTCTGTCCTGGTGCTTAGACTGGTGCTGGTACCTGTGTTGGTGCCTGTACTATTGCAGGAGCTAGTACTGGTGCTTGTTCTGGTGCTGGTGCTGGTGCTGGTGCTGGTGCTGGTGCTGGTGCTGGTGCTGGTGCTAGTGCTGATGATATTGCTAATGCTGGTGCTTGTGCCTGTGTTGTTGCTGGTGCTGGCGCTTGTGCCTGTCTTTGTGCTTAGGGCTAGTGCTGGTTGTGGTGCTGGTGCTGGAGCTCGTGCTAGTGCCTCTTCTGGTGCCTGAACTGATGATACCGCTGGTGCTGGTAGTGTTGCTGGTGCTTGTGCTAGTTCTTATACTGGTGCTTGTGCTGGTGCTTTGGCTGTTGCTGGTTCTTGAGCTGGACCTGGTGCTTGTGCTGGTGCCTGAGGCGGTGCTGGCGCTTGTTCTAGTGCCTGTATTAGTGCTGGAGTTGGTTCTGGTGCTAGTTCTAGAGCTAGTACTGGTGCTGGTTCTGGTTCTAGTGCTGGCGCTGATGCTGGTGCTGTTGCTAATGCTGATGCTGGTGCCTGTGCCAAAGCTTGTGCTGTTGCTGGTGTTGGTGGTTCTGGAACTAGTGCTAGTGCCTCACCTGGTGTCTGAACTGATGATGCTGCTGGTGCTGGTAGTGTTGCTGGTGCTTGTGCTGGTTCTCAAACCAGTGCTTGTGCTGGAGCTTGGGCCGGTGCCGGTGTTTGTGATGGTGCTTGTACCAGTGGAAGTACTGGTGCTGGTTCTGGTGCTGGTGCTTGTGCTTGAACCGGTAACTATGCTGGTGCCTGTGCTGTTGCTGGCGCTTGTGACTGTTCTGGTGCTCAGGCTGGTGCTGGTGCTGATGCTGATGCTGGTGCTGGTGCTGGTGCTGGGGCTGGTTCTTGTGCTTGTGCTAGTGCCGTTGTCGATGCTTGTGCTGGTGCTAGTGCTGGTACTTGTGTTGGTTGGGGTGCTTCTGCTGGCTATGGTGCTGATGCTGGTGCTTATGCGTGTGCTTGTGTTGATGCTGGTGCTAATGCTGGTCCTTAGCGCGGTGCTGGCACTTGTGCTGCTGCCTGTACTGGTGCCGGTGCTGGTGCTGGTTCCGGTGCTAGTGCTGGTGCTGCTGCTGGTGCGAGTGCTGACTCTGGTTCTTGTACGTGTGCTTGTTTTGGTGCTGGTGTTGGTGCTGGCGCTGGTGCCTGTCCTGGTGCTTAGGCTGATGCTGGTGCTTGTGGTAGTGGCGATTCTGGTACTGGTGCTGGTGCTTAGGTTGGTGCTGATGTTGGTGCTTGTGCTGGACCCAGTGCTTGTGCTGGTGCTGGTGCTGTTGCTTGTCATGGTTACTGGGTCGGTGCTGGTGCTTGTGCTTGTCACTGTACTAGTGCTGAAGCTAGTGCTGGTTCTGGTTCTGTTTCTGCTGCTAGTGCTGGTGCTGGTTCCTGTACAGTTGCTCGGCTGTTGCTGGTGGTGGTGCTGGTGCTGGTACTTGTGCTGGACCTGGCGCATGTGCCTGTCTTCGTGTTGGTGCTGGTGCTGGTGCTGGTGCTCGTGCTGGTGCTGGTGCTGGGGCTGGTGCTGGTTCTTGTGCTGGCACTTGTGCTGGTGCTGTTGGTGGTGTTCGTGCTGGTGCGGCTGCAGGTTCCTGTGCTGGTGCCTGTACTAGTACTGGTGTATGTGCTGGACCGGTTCTTGTTATAGTGCTGTTGCTGGACCCGGTGGTGGTGCTGGTGACTGTGCTGGTGCTGGTTCTAGTGCCTGTGTTGTTGCTGGTGTTAGTTCTTGTGCCGGCGATGTTGCCTGTCCTGGTGCTTAGGCTGATGCTTTTGCTGGTATTGTTATTGGTGCTGGTGCTGGTGCTGGTGCCTGTGCTGGTGCCTATGTTGGTGCTTGTACTGGTGCCAGTGCTTACGCTGGTGCTGGTGCTGTTGCTAGACCTGACGCTTGTGTTGGGGCTTGTAACAGTGCTAGTACTGGTGCTGTTGCTTGTGCTGGTGCTGGCGCATGTGCCTGTTCTGGTGCTTAGGCTGGTGCTGTTGCTGGTAGTGGTGGAGGTGCTGGTGCTGGTGCTGGTTGAGGTGCTGCTGCTGGTGCTTTTGTTTCTGCTTCTGCTGGCTATGGTGCTGATGCTGGTGCTGGTGCATCTGCTTGTGCCGGTGGTTGTGCTGGTGTTGATGCTGACACTGGTGCTTGTACTACTGCTAGTGCTGGTGTTGGTGCTTTTACTACTGCTAGTGCTGGTACTGGTGCTGGTGCTGGTGCTAGTTCTAGCGCTGGTGTTAGTGCTGGTGCTGGCGTTTGTGCCTGTCCTGGTTTTTTTGCTGGTGCTTTGGCTGGTACTGGTTCTGGTGTTCGTGCTTGTGCTGGTGCTTGCGCTGTTGCTCGTGCAAATGCCGTGTCTTGTGCCGATGCTTCTGCTGGTGCTCATGCCAATGCCGGCTCTTGTGCCGGCACTTGTGCTCTTTCTTCCTTCTAGTGCTAGTGCTACTGCTGGTTCTTGTGTTTGTGCTGGTCCTGGTGGTGGAGCTGGTGCCTGTGCTTGTGCCAGTTCCTGTGCTGGTGCTGGTGTTTGTGCTAGTGTTGATGCTGGTGCTGGTGCTTGAGCTGGTGTCTGTGCTTGTGCCGGTGCTTGTGCAGGTATTGGTGCAAGTGCTGCTGGTGATACTAATGCTGGTGCTTGTGCTGGTACTGGTGCTTCTGCCCGTCCTCGTACTGGTGATTGTGCTGTTGCTTGGGCCGGTGCCCGCGCTTATGCTGGTTCTAGCGCCTGTGCTCGTGTCAATGCTTGTGCTGGTTCTTGGATCGGTGCCGGCGCTTGTGCTGGTGCTTGCTCTAGTACTAGTGCTAGTGATATTGCTTCTGCTGATGCTGGTGCAGGTGCTTTTGCTGGTGCTTGTGCTGGAGCTTGTGCCAGTGGTTGAGAAGGTGGTGGTGCTTGTGCCTGTTCCGGTGCTTGTGCTGGTGCTGTTGCTTATGCTGATCTTGGTGCTTGTGCTTCTGCTGGTTCCTTTGCTGGTGCTTGTTAATGTCCCGGTGCTGGTGCTGGTGCTGGTGCTAGTGTTGGTGTGGGTGCTTCTGCTGTTTCTGGTGCTGGTGCCTGTGCTCTTCCCTTTACTGCTGGAGCCTGTGCTTATGCTGGTGCTTTCACTGGTGTTGGTGCTGATGCTAGTGCTGGTGCTGGTTCTTGTGCTGGTGCTTGTGTTAGTGTTTCTGCTCGTACCAATGCTTGTGCTGGTGCTCTTGCCGGTGCCGGCTCTTGTGCTGGCGCCAACTATCGTGCGGGTACTTTTGCTGTTTGTTGATCTTGTGTTTGTGCTAGTGCTGGTGCTGTTGCTGGTGCTCGTGCCGGTTCTTGTGTTGGTGCTGGTGCTGGTTCTAGTGCTGATGCTGGTGCTGGTGCTTGAGCTGGTGTCTGTGCTTGTGCCGGTGCTTGTGCTGGTGCTGGTGCTGCTTCTGTTGCTGGTGCTGGTTCTTGTGCTGGTGCTTTTGTTGGTACTGGTGCTTGTGCCAGTGCTTAAGCTGGTGTTTGTGCTGGTGCTGGTGCTGATGTTTGTGCTGCTGCTGATCCTGTAGCTAGTGCCTATGTTGGTGCTGGTGCTGATGATTGTGCTGGAGCTTGTGCTGGAACTTGTGCTGGATCTTGTGCTTCTGCTTCTTTTGGAGTTTGTGCTGGTGCATGTGTTTGTGCTTCTGCCGGTTCTTGTTCTGGTGCTGGTGTTGGTGCTGGTGCTGGCGGTTGTCCCTGTCCTGGTGCTTAGGCTGGTGTTGGTACTGGTGCTGGCGGTTGTCCCTGTCCTGGTGCTTAGGCTGGTGCTGGTGCTGGCGGTGGTTCTGGTGATTGTGGTTGTGCTAGTTCTTTTACTGCAGATGCTGCTGCTGGTACTTGTGCTGGTGCCTGTTCTGGTACTGGTTCTGGTGCTTGTGCGTGTGTTTGTGTCGGTGCTGGTGCTTGTGTTGGTGCTGATGCTTGTGCTGATGCTTTTGCTAGTACCAGTGTTAGTGCTTTTGTTTGTGCTTATGCTCGTACCAGTACCTATACTGGTGCTTGTGCTGGTGCCTACTTTTTTGTCGGCGCTTTAGATGGTTTTTGTACTAGTGCTACTGCTGTTGCTGGTGCTTGTGCTGCTGCTGGTGCTGATTCTGGTGCTTGTGCGTGTGCTTGTGTTGGTGCTGATGTTGGTGCTGGTGCTGGCACTGGTGGTCGCGCTGGCGCTGGTGCTGTTGCTGGTGCTGGTGCTAGTGCTAGTGCTTGTGCTTCTGCTCGTACCAGTGCTTGTGCTAGTGCTTATGCTGGTGCCTACTCTTGTGCCGGCGCTTTTGCTGGTTCTTGAACTGGTTCTAGTGCTGCTGCTGGTGCTGGTTGTGGTGCTCCTGCTGGATCCGGTGCTTGTGCCGGTGCCAGTGCTTGTTGCCTGTGCTAGCTTTTTTCTCAACGCACGCTACTGCTGTACTAGTGCTACTGCTGTTGCTCGTGCTTGATCTAGTGCTATTGCTGGTCCTGGTGCTGTTGTTTGTGCTGCTGCTGATCCTGTAGCTGGTGCCTGTGTTGGTGCTGGTGCTGATTCTTGTGCTGGAGCTTGTGCTGGAGCTTGTGTTTCTTCTTCTTTTAGAGTTTGTGCTTTTACTTTTGCTTCTGCTTCTGCTTCTGTTTCTGCTGATGGTTCTACTGGTGCTTGTGCTCGTACCAGCGCTTGTGCTTCCTGTTTGTGCTCGTACCAGTGCTTGTGCTGTTGCATGTGTTGGTGCCTACTCTTGTGCCGGCGCTTATGCAGGTTCTTGTACCAGTTCTAGTGCTGGTGCTGGAACTACTGCCTATGCTGCACCCAGTGCTTGTGATGGTGCTGTTGCTTGTGCTGGTGCCTGAGCCGGCGCGGGCCTTGTCCTGTTGCCTGTGCTAGTGCTGGAGCTGGTTCTGGTGCTGGTTCTTGTGCCTTTGCCATTGCTTTTGCTGATGCTGGTGCTTGTACCTTTCCTGGTGCTTAGGCTGGTGCTGGTGGTGGTGGTAGTGCTGGTGCTTGTGTTCGACCCGGTGCTTGTGCTGGTGTTGGTGCTGGTGCTGGGGTCCAGGTGCTGGTGCTGGTGCTAGTGTTGATGGTCGTACCGGTGCTTGTCGTGGTACCTGGGCCAGTGCATACGCCTGTGCTTGTGCTTTACTAGTTCTAAGGCTGGTGCTGGTGCTGGTGCTGGTTCTGGTGCTAGTACTGATGTGGGTGCGTGGGCTGGTCCTAGTGCTAGTGCTGCTGACTGTGTTGGTGCTGGTGCTGGCGCTGGTGCTGGCGCTGTCGCTGGTGCTGGTGCTGGTGCTGGCGCTGGTGCTGGTGCTGAGGCTTGGGCTGGTGCTGTTGCTTGTGTCGGTGCTTCTGCTGGTGCTGGTGTAGGTGCTGGTGCTGGCGTTTGTGCCTGTCCTGGTGCTCATGCTGGTGCTGGTGCTGGTGCTTGTGCTGGTACAGGTGCTTGTGCTGGTTCTGGTGCTGGTGCTTGTGCTGGTGCTTGTACTGGTGCTTTTGATGGAGCTTGGGCCTGTGCTAATGTTTGTGCTGGTGCTACTGCTGGTACCGGCGCTTTTGCTGGTGGTGGTGCTGATGCTGGTTCTAATGCTTCTGCTGTTGCTGGTGTCGGTGCTGGTGCTGGCGCTCGTGCCCGTACTGTTGCTCATGGGGGAGCTGGTGCTGGTGCTTGTACTGGAACAGGGGCCTGTGCTGATACCTTTACTAGTGCTGGAGCTGGTGCTGGTGCTGGTTCTGTTGCTAGTTCTGATGCTGTTGCTAGTGCTTGTGCTTGTTCCTGCCCTGGTGCCTAGTTCCGGTGCTGGTGGTGGTGCTCGTGGTGGTGCTGGTGTTGGTGCTGGTGCTGATGTTGGTGCTTGTGCTTCTGCTGGTGCTGGTGCTAATGCTGGTTCTGATGCTAGTGCTAGTGCTGGTGGTCGTACCGGTTCTTGTGCTGGTGCTTTGGCCTGTACCAACGTTTGTGCTTGTGCTTGTACTAGTTCTAAGGCTAGTGCTTGTGCTTGTGTTGGTGCTGGTGCTTCTGCTCCTGCAAGTGCTTGTCCTGTTGTTTATGCTGTTGCTGGCGCTTCTGCCTATCCTGGTTCTTAGGCTGGTGCTTGTGCAGGTGGCGGTTCTGGTGGTGGTGCTGGTGCTTTTGCTTGTGCTTCTACTAGCGCTGATGGTTGTGCTGGTACCGGTTCTTGTGCTGGTGCTATTGCTTATGCTGGTGCTTGTGGTTCAGCTGATACTGGTGCTAGTGTGGTGCTGATGCTGGTTCTTGTGCTGGTGCTATTGCTTATGCTGGTGCTTGTGGTTCAGCTGATACTGGTGCTAGTGTGGTGCTGATGCTGGTTCTGATGCTTCTGCTGGTGCAGGTGCTGGTGTCGGTGCTGGTGCTGGCGCTTGTGCCTGTCCTAGTGATCATCCTAGTGCTGGTGCTTGTGCTGGAACAGGCTCTGGTGCTGGTGCTTATGCTGATACTTGTATTGGTGCCAGTGCTGATGCTGGT